ACACATGTACGAACGCACACACAAGCACACGTACACACACAGACACGTGTACGTACGCGCCCGCGCACGCACCTAAACACACCCGTGCTTACGTATGCACGAACGCAGTTATAAACGTGAAAAATAAATATAGTTTTGATATTGTTCAGCGGTTAGCTAGGCGTACTGTTCATATTTGTCTCTTATATGAGATTTACAGACAGGGGAAGCTGCTGTATTTGAGGTGCGGGCTTCCCCGGTAGAGAATAAATTATAGTCCTTATCGTTCTTGTCATGGCCATGAGGGTGGGGAAGGTAGGAGAAGGTGGCCGGTGCCCCCTGAATTTTGGATGATAAAAAATATATACAACTATTAAATGCAAATAGGAAAATTTTGAAAGTTGATGTAAGTAAATTCATGTAAATCTAAATATAAATGCCGATGAATAATAGAAAATAAAACCTTCAGTCTAATCCATGCATGATGCCTGCATGGGGTCTATTTTCTTGAACCCGTTAAATGCATTACCTTGTCATTCATTGCTCAAGTAGTTCACGAAATTTGGCTTCCCTTTAATAATTTTATCAAGCTACGCCCCCTGGTTGTTCACTTACATGTTAGTGTAGAAGGTAATGTTAACTCCTTTTTCTTCTTGATCACACACCCTCCCACACACACACACACACATACACACATGTGCAGGTCACGGGAGGACCTGATAAGAAAACACTCGGTGAGGTCGCTTTGCTACGATTTAATGGTCAGAATTCACGGGAGAACGCCATAGCAATTTCAACTTTGGCTAAATAATTTTTCTTCCAACAAAAATTTCTCGAAAATATATAATCCATCCCCTCCCTGCACCCACATTATTAGACCCCATGCACCTGCTACGCCTTTCTACTTTAACCAATACCCCATCCTGCCCCCAACCCACCAACATTCTTTATTCGAAGCATTCAACCTCACGTGTAAAATCATGGCAATAATGTAAGGCAATGCTCTATTTAGAGAAAGATTCTTTACGATATTCCGTATACCAACAAGTTTATTTTAACATATGATTATTTGTTGTATTATTGTTCGGTTTATAGTAGAATACATTGATCTTAACTCGTTTCTAATCTTCCTCCTAGGAACACGCGGCTGACAGACGAACCTTCTACAACGTGCTAGTCTTCTCTGCGATCGTGGCGCCCCCATGCGGACCTTCACCGACAACAGCAACGATTTGTCTATTATGTTATACGCGATATAAGAAACTAGCTTAAGTAACTGTACTAACTGGAGCTTACTATAGTATGCTCTGTTTCATCTGCCACTCATCAGTCTCATCTCCTACCCCTCTGTTTCATCTACTACCACTCAGTCCCATCTATTACCTATTAGTTGCAGTAGCAGGACCGTACACTGAGCAAATTCTTCGGGGAAGGGGCGCAAAATTTCATGACGAGGTGTGTAATGATCATAGGTCCGTAGCGAATCATTCCAGGAGGCGTGGGTCTTTTTCATCCGGTGGGCTTTTGGAGCCAGCTGCTTGGTCTGCAGGGGCGGATTGACGTTGTGAAACCCGTGGTAGTGGATCAGGGGTCGTGAAAATGTTTTTTTTAAACTAAACCTCATCGTAGATGCAATTTGTCCTAAAAGAATTACGCTTGTTGGGAAGGAAAACACACCAGAACATACGAATATATTCAATTAGATTTATTCAATTAGACCGGCTGCATCCCCCTTTGCATCCACGCACGGTCTATGTACTGCATCAACGCGATCATGCCACAGATAGACTATAAATTATTGTAGAATATTTCACTTGGGAATGAGCTGTGTACAATTAGGTACAAACTAGGGCACAAAATTGGCACAAAGTCAAATCATTTTGTTTTGCTCCAA